AGAGAGAGAGAGAGAAAGGAAAAGGGTAAGATAGTGCAATGTCACAACGATCGATCTCCGCATAATGGCGTCAGGGACACTGCGGTCCTGCGAGTACCGATTATATACCCTTAGCCGAGTAGTAATACGATAAAGGATACTACTCTTTTCTCGTGCAATTTGGCGACATGTCGCGCGATGAACTCACGGTGCTTAGTATTTTGCAATCGACAACTTAACCGAGGAAATTCGATGTTAAATCGATGCAATAATCAACGGAATAAAACTACAATTGATCGCGCATAGGAAGCGGCGAAAAAGAATGATTTTCGCTTAGTTTGTTTCGCGAAGATGTGACTCTTTGCCGAATTGTTTATTGATTTTTTATTCTTTTTAATAGATCGTGTGATTCGTACTATATATAGGGGACTATGATATAAAGGAGGAAACATTTTTTGGTTAGAATATCATGAAATAGTATCATAATAATGGGCGAGGGTGAACTGGGTTGGGAGAGCTGACGATGCTGATAACTATATGAAATAATTGTATTTATTACGTGAAATGATGAACGAGGAGAACCTACAAATAAATAGTGAATCAATGAATGATGATGAAGAATAATTGTATAATGTAAACGTTAAATTTTATTTTCCACGACGATAGTTATGTGAATATATTGCTACAGTCCGATCCAAATATAATCAAGCTTTTGTAACACTAATTATAATAAAAGTCTAATGATGATACTGCTAATTACACGTAATTGTATCGCACACACACGGTTAAAGTTATCAAGTATGAGCCATAAATAAGCGGTCTCGATTTTACGCGTGTACGGAAGCGGAGAGTAGTGCGCCAAAAATCTTTACAAATTCAGCTAGTTATCGTCGCGCTGTAGATCCGCGACAAATATTCCTTACTCTCAACGCATTTTTTTCGCACATTGACACTATGTATATGTCCCATATGGATATTATGAAAACGAGCTTCATTATATATATATATATATATGTATATATATATGAAGCTAAAAAAAAACATTAGAATGCCTTTGACATTCTTCTGACGCGCTATTTTTTTACTCGTACATAATTTATTATCAAAAAATATAATAATCTACAGATTATCATATTTTGCAATAACATTTCATTGAAAATAATGAAATTAAGATTAAAATAAATGCGAGATCTTAACAGTGTTCTAAAAAAGAAATGTTAATCTAAAAATAAAAAATAATTTAATTGTATTTTTTTAATTTGGATTTGAATTTGGAAAAAAATTCTAACTAGACAATAAATTCAAAATCTTTGTTTATTAAAAGCCTTCTTTCTTAAAGAAAAAAATTATACTTATCTAATATCTCACATAACATACTATTTTTAAATAACCAAAATTGTTTTTCCTAGAACAATTTTGCTGGAATGAAAATTTCCATCTAGCCTGTTTTCGATTTGCCAATTTCCTCTCTTTTTCAGAATGACATTTCGATATTCAGTGTAAACCTAGCTATACCTTTCTGCCCTGCCATTTCGCAAATTTGTTGCACATGTCGCGTACGTGTTATCCCGAAAACAAACGTGTAACGCATAATAACGAGATATATTTTACGATCCTTGCCATCTTCACACATGTTAAGTAAAGTCAATTATATTTAATCAGCGGACGATACTTAGCAATTAAAAAAAGCGTACCCAGATTATATCTCTTGGGCATTTGCATCTGCACACAGGGTAAAACTTCTGCGACCCTTCGTGCGTGTACTCACAGGGTGACTCTCGATCTTAAGCGAAAAAAAAAAAACAAGAAAGAAAGGGAAAAAATGCAAGAAAAATCTAGAAAAAAAGTTGTAGCTGTTCTGAAAGCGGAGATGAGACGCGGCTGAGGGTGAAAATGTGAGATGAGAGAAAGGAAGAAAGCGTGCGCGCGCGAAAGAGAGAAAAAGATACAACTATTTTTCCATTTTGCAAGCAGCAGAAAGCCTTTTTCCTCGCACAGTGAGCGCGTTGAAGGAAAAACACGATAAACTATGTGATTCCTGATGAAATTTCGTCCAGCTCCTTCTTGTGAGCCAGCACAATCTTTTAAATCACTTTCGAGAATTGCTAAATCGCTTGTGATCATTTCTTTCCCGTTCTGCGATACGAGAAAGAGAAAGGGAGAGAGAAAAAGAGAAAAGGGGGAGAAAACTGAG